TCGCATCCATCGCATAATCAACCTCAGTTCGCCCGCATAATTTACCTCATCGCATCGCATAATCCTGGACACCCTACTTTGGGCACATATATATTTTCCCATTTATTTATTGTGGCAGCTTATGCTGAGATTGGCTTATACTGAGAATTTAAGTTATTTTATTATAAAATTATAAAATTTTAGAGGGCTTTTTCAGGAGTGTTTGTTTATATAGTTTGGTTAGGGTTTAGGGTTAGGTTTATTAATAAAAGTGTATTTATGGATTTTAGTAGGTATTATAGATTTAAAATTATATATAGTATATAAAAATTTTTTAGAAATAAAATTATAATTTTAAAAAAAATTTTTAAGAACTAAAAAATTAATTTGTATACCGTTTATTTTATATATAATTTAAAATTGTATTTTTAACAAATGTGGTTTTTAAAAAAAAACTAAAATAGCTTGCAAAAGATTCTAGTAATAACCACTACTATATTTTGATTTGGAAAATTTTGCAATAATAAAACGAATAAAAAAAATTTTTTTTTTAAATAAATAACCTTTAAATATGCATATATTATATTATGAATTAATTTCTTATCACTAATATAAAACTGCAGCTAATGTTAAGATTTGGTTGAAGTTAAACCTAATAAATGAAACTAATCCATTCCGTTAACTTTTAAAATCAATAATAACAATTAGTATTACGTACTACTTATTTAAAGGCAACAAGTGATTCGAGCTTCATAAATAAGATATAGTCCATCCTTAGAATACATATCTATTACCCTCGTCTATCTCTAGCAGCGATATTAAAAGGATGTGGATGATAATGATGTTGATGATAATGATGCTGGTGGTTGCATGTCCTTTTTTTGAATAAATGTTAAAATGCTATAAAAATTATGCAATTAATATTGTAATTTCTATTAACCTTTTACTTAAAAAATAAAAAATTATACCTTGGTAAAACAGATTGCGACTTTAATACAACTTCTTGCCATTCAGATTTTGGATCTGAAAGATGGACAATCGCGCCGCCAGCTCCAATGGATAGATCTAATTATAACTTAGTATTAAACTTTGCTGAAAATATAAGAAATAATCATTAAAAGATCATACCGGTTCCATCACAAACAACAACAGTTCTTATAATGACGCTAAATTGAGTTGTGCCTCTCTGATATCCATCTTGCAAAGACAAATATCCTAAACATCCAGAATAAACACCTCTCGGAGAGTTGTGTTCTAATTCGTTTAGTAGGTGAATGGCACGTAGTTTAGGCGCACCCGTCATGGACCCTGTTCAACGTTTTAAATTTAGTATACTAATAAATTGAATTTCAAAATGAATGCGACGTACCTGGTGGGAAACAACGCTGTACAGCTTTAACACAATCTAAGTCATCTCTTAATTTTCCACGAACAGTGGTCACAAGTTGATGAACAGTTTCATAGGATTCTACTTTCATTAAATCAGGAACTTTTACAGTATGTGGCGGACATATTTGCGCCAAATCATTGCGAATCAGATCAACTATCTATTATTCATTCGAAAGACATAAATTAGTTGCAATTATGTGACAGAACTGTAACTATAAACATGCTAGTTGAACAAACCATTAGGTTCTCAGCACGCTCTTTTTTGTCTCCTTCAAGAACATCTTTTCTCCTCGCATCTTCTTTTTCCCTAATTTCTTCACATCGTGAACCATTATCACATTTTATTTGCGAACAAAAACAACCTTTTGCTCTCGCAAGAGTTCCTTTAATTGGTTTCATTTCCACAATTCCTTCATTATTTATTTGAACGAATTTTTCAGGAGATGAACTTAATACAGCTACATCCTCTGTTGGAAAATGGAGAAATGCTGAAAATGGCGCAGGGTTATCCGTTCTGATGCGCTCATAAAGTTCGTAAATATCATTGAGTCTACTTTGTAACGAAGTTCGAATTTGTGTGGTAAGACAAATTTCATAGCATTGACCTTCGTAAATATATTGACGCGACTTTTCGATTGCTTTTATGTAGGAATCGGATGTCAAATCGGGAACAAAAGGAGGTTGAATTGTAGTAGAGGGTGGATGCCTATAATTGCTATTAATCGATACTATGGGGGGTTTAGCATTAAAGATGCGTAATTGCTTTTCGATAGACGTAACCCATGATATAAAATCTGAATATGAAAATCCAGTAATTCTATATAATCTATCAACATCTAGAGAATTCTGTGAAGCAGGAACATCGCAGTCATCAAGGCGTACCAATCCGGCAACCCACATGCGCTTTTCGATATGGTCAAATATTATGGCCTGAGTTGCGAAAATAAATGCTGCGTCTGGACTTTTACATGCAAAGGAATGACCCAGATATTCTTTTGACAAAGTACATTTAGGCATTGATTCTAGTTTCATTTCATAGCCAAAGTAACCCACCATTCCCAATCGAAAATCAAAAGGCAATCTATGTCTAATATTTTCAAGATTACCGTTATTATTCAATATCCGTAACCCAGCAATACGCTGATTAAAATATGATATTATATCAGACATCCAATTCCAAAACGTTTGATCATCTGCAAGTTTTTTCGATGCCAATGTACCGTCTGAGTATGTAATTGATAATGTTTTATTATGTATAGAATATGACGTCGAAAATGAATTTGATACGGCCGGTGTCGAACCCATGTATGAAAATTTACTTTGCAGATCTGGTTGCTGATATGGTAACGATCGATTAATAATAATAAATAAATAAAGACATATTAGTTTTTATTTTAATTTACCCTTGAGCTATCCAACCACCATTTTCCTGTAATGGATTTATCAGAAGAAATAATATGCTTAAAGACTATTGATGATTCGACCCAAATATCTTTATCAAGTTCCTTCATTATGAGAATGTGCTTGGGACCAGTATTCGATATTGATGATTTAGGTGAATGAACACTTATAGGGACCATTGAAAGTGACGTAATAGATGGCGGAAGAGTAGGTCTTGGAAACAAAACTCCACGCTGTATTATTGTATATATGAGAAATTACTAAATAAGTATTAAAATAAAATTATATAATATATTACCTTTTTTAAAAACGAGTGCGATATAATTTGGAAATTTCTCAGAATTCGATCTCCATATTTAGTACAAATAGACTAGTAGGAAAATAAGTCACGTCAGTTAATACTAGAAAAATATTAAAATCTTTAGCAATCATTAAAATTTGAACAAACCATGCCTCTGGATGAAATTGAACGCCAAAAATTGGTTTAGATAAATGCTTCAAGCTCATAATTGTACTCAATTCTTTAAGAGGCGATTTATTGCCGAGAGGTCTTTCCTGCAAATCATAGTCGTTTTCGGAACACCAAGCTGAAATTTTTAATTGCTGAGGCAGATCTATGAATAGCAATCTATCAATCGAATATTTAATAGGAAACCGCATTATAAATGATTATATACTCTTATTATCGACCACCAAACTATGGTATCTAACAGCACAAAATGGACTCGGTATGCCTAGGAATAAAGACGTTTCATCATATGTTCCGTCATGATAAATAGGACTTGTTCTTCCATGCATTATCCTTTTAGCATTTATAATCTAAAAACTTCGCAAAATCAGCCCTATATCATAAAATCAAGCTGATCGATGGTTTATGTTGTGTGATCAAAGAATAACTAACTCACTTCAGCACCGAAAGCAACGCTAATACCTTGATGTCCTAAACACACACCTAGAATTGGAATATCGTCCAATTCAAGGATTTTTGCACATATACCAAAATCCTAAAATTTTCGGATAATTTTTGGGAATCAACTATAAATTCTTTCAAATAGAAAAAAAAAAATTTTTTTTTTTTTGATGGATGGTTTCGTACAGAAGCATTCTTCGGACTACCTGGTCCTGGTGATATAATAATATTGTCGAAGTATGGAAGTATATTGTTCTTAAACTTTGTCCTATATATAAATTTATTAGAAGTGGAATTAATAACAAGTTTTACAAACTGATAATGAAGCTTACCATGAAAATTGGTCATTTCTGATCACAACCACGTTTTTGGCACTTTCTTCGCTACCCCATAGTTGAAGCAAGTTAAATGTGTATGAATCATAGTTGTCAACAATTAAAGTTCGTAATGACGAAATGTCCATTATTTCCTTTCGAACACAGCTTAAAAGTTATTAATTCAACATGATCTAGCATGCATGCATCCAAACCTAAAAAACAACTCTATTTTTCAACCAATCAGAACCAGGGAAACTGGTCACAAATATATATATATATATATTTTTTTTTTACCAGATAAAAAAAAATTTTTAAGCTTTATCTATATTACTGCGAAAACATGATTACTAACAGAAAATTCACTCAAAGGTTATTAAATACTAGTTGGCGTTTTACTTCGCCTAAAATTAGCCTTTCACAAAACAATCAACGTTATTCACGTATTTTACTACCTTATTCCCGAATAAAATTTATTTCAACATTTCGCAAAGCTAACGATAATATTCCACCAAATGGTCAGGGAATTCGATACGTTGTTGGTTCTGCAGTGGTTGCCGGGATTGGTGGATCGATTTATTATTATTTTCAAAAAAAAAAAGGAAATCAATCCATTGACAATTCAAATAATCAGCTTCATAAAATTATTCTCTCGCCACTAGAGGCTACATTAAAAATTACGAGAGAATCAATTATCATTTTTACTTCAGCGTAACAACGGAGTCTATCGTTATGATTGCTAAA